ACTACTGCAGAAGAGGCATACTACGACCTCCCTAGACAAGGATACATGGACACTAATCCCTCTACTTCATTATGAGTACATAGGGATTTACTCAACACTACTGCCTCCAGGTCCTACAAATCAATGTACACAAGTCTAGCGATTACCAGGAGCTAGTACTACAGCTAGCCCACATTAAGCGAGTTGATGTAGTACTTATCCANAAGTCCTACAAATCAATGTACACAAGTCTAGCGATTACCAGGAGCTAGTACTACAGCTAGCCCACATTAAGCGAGTTGATGTAGTACTTATCCAAGAGCCATATATCTACCGAAAGGAGATCAGTCGTCAGATCACAAGACGCCACCCGAATTACGACTGCTTTGCACCTATATGTGACTGGAATATCAGCCCTCCTAGGGCACTCACTTTTGTACTAAAAGGGGCTGGCATCCTTGCAAGCCAACAGACCCCAATCGCCCCCTCGCTTAAATGCCGAGACCTTGTCTATGTTAAATTTGCACTCTCCCAAGGCCACTCACTTTACATACTCAACGTATACAACGCGCCTTTAGGTGCTAAGGGTGCAGTTCATTACAAGAGTTACTCAACAATAAACAAACTCCTCGACTCCTAATATCAGTGAATAAAACGCACCGACTCTTAGACCATTCAGAGTCTTACTCACCCTTCTAGCCCAACTAAAAACTAAGATTCCCGGAAGGAATCTACAAGTTCATGAATGTACTGACTCTCCTCTTGTAGAACGACGCCCCTATAAAACACCTCCCCTCAACGTTCTCATCTCATACACACACAAACACCACTGTAACATCATATCCTGTAAAGAAAAAAAGCTCCGCCGACCAACACACTCCGAAAATCATGCCTGCAGACCAGCCCTTCGACACCGCGACCCTCTCACCTCTCACCTCATCACCCTCCAACTCTAACCCCCCCTCTGACACAAACCCCAATGAAGACTCCGATTCTCTACACCATCAAGAACCCAACTCCAAATGGGAAAAGAGATACCCAGACCACTCCTACTTCCAATCTCCCTCCCCTACCCTCTCAACATCAACCCTCACAAACTACCCAAACCACCCTCTAGAACCCAACGGAAGCAGCAGCAGCACCAGCGCAGGCCACCGACTCCCCCTCCACCTCACCTCTCCCAACCCCCGTGGCGTCATAACCCGCATCCGAACCTCCCACAACTGGCTAACCCGAATCCAGCAAATAACCCACTACACATTCCGTAACTCAGATCTTCTAGAAGAAGCTCTAGAATCCACTGGGTCACTCGTAACCACCGTCGGGACAACCCACCGACACATCCCGTCCGGAAACCGGGACTTAGCAAGCGTCGGCCACGCTGTGATGAAACTCCTGCTCACAGAGAGCTGCTACACATTGCGGGTGTCCGGCTCGTCGGCACACACGCGCTCGAAGAGGGTGAAAAGGGTGATGGGCATCGATACGAGTAATAAGGTGATTAAGGAGGTTCTGGGCCGGGAGAATTTGGCTCTGATTGGGACGCAGACGAAGATTGAGTACTGTATTAGGCCGATGAAGGGCATAGAGGGGAGTTTGAGAAAGAATCCGGTGGTTCATACGGTGAGGTTGTGGAAGGATGATGTGAGGAGGGAGGAGCGATCTTGGACTATTGCGAGGGGGGTGGAGGCTGTGGTTGGTGCTGTGTATTTTGATGGGGGATTGGAGAGTGTGAAAGGGGTTATGGAGGTGTAGAATCAGAGGATTAGGGTTCCGGTTTTGGCGGAATGTGAAGGAGAGTGATAGTGATAGAATGGTGTAGAGCGGACGGTCTAATTGTGTATGGTGTGGGTTGATGGGATAATAGCGGATGTTGAATTGGGGGATCATTGGGTCTATTGTTACGATGAGGTCTGCTTGTATTGGTGTAAAAGTTATTGTAGCCAGTATCAAGAATGACAGATGTCAAATAAAGCTTTACATGAACTTGCGCCTATGAAATCTCATCGGGGAGCCTCAATCATACACATGATTTGAAATCAATGTTATCATCGAATAGCTCTAGGCAACCATCTATATCAACCCATCAACTCACTAACCCTTTGGAAGGAATCAGAAATAACTCAGATGATTTCTCATATCATTAGAAATAATGAATTGAATGTCTGGAATATGGGTTGAAGATAGGGAAACCATGATGTACCCGACAACGTGACGAGGGTCGCTTGATATCAAGTCCTTTCGAAACATGGCAGAGCCTCAAGAGAGGGCTCTGAAAGTCGTTTCTTAAAGTTTGATACCATCCTGGATAACGAGAACATGTTTGCCAAAGTAAGAAGATGGTTCGTGAGATACGAGTGAAGCCCCATGGATCCAAGGTCGCTAAGCTTACCCAAATGGCAGACCTGCAGTGCGGCAGAGACCTTTCCTCGCTTGTGGTTGGTCAGCCCCAGGACCGCCCAGGACTCCGCACTTAAAAGGCCGTCTCCCCCTCCTCCCACACCAACTCTCCTTCACACTCTGCTCTTCCCCTACAAAATCCATCCATCTCCATTGCAACCCCCATCAACCCTTTTATAACTTGTTTGAACATTCTAGGACCCTTGTGAGGACTTCCTCATATGGACTAGACTCGGTACCCTCGATTTGCCCATATCACTTGCTTGTCGAGGGGAGATCAGCCAAGGCACATCTCTTCCACCCTCTTCATCAACGGCTCAGCTGAACCAAAACTTCATCAATCCCTTCAACCTTTCAACCCTTTCCATCAATATTCCATCGTGATTGTCTAACAGGAACCCATACCACTACGTATAGGACCTGGAAAGCGAATTTTCGATCAACGTCAACGCCGCTTGGCTATATCCGTTGTCCGTATCTCCTCCCACAGTAAAACCGAGTGAGTCTTACAGCCACGGGTGCACCATGATCGACCCCGCACCAGTTCAGACAGCCGAAAGGTCGGATGCCCAGACAGCTTTCATGAACCCAAGGTGGTCAACCACCAAGAAAGTCCACTGGGCTTCAGAAGTGGTAGACAACGAGTACAAGCACAGAAAATTACCCCACTCGCCCACCACCAAGCAAAAACCTCAATCAACATACGCCATGCCTTCATCAAAGGTTCGCTTGGACTCCAATTTGGGCTCGTCGTCCTCAAGAGGCAATGCTCCATTTCGACATGACGACAAGATGAAACGCAAGCAAGTCGCAAATATCTCGAAACCAATCAATCAAACACGATCCCGATCACCCTCAGTGAAGCATTCATCAAAACGGTCTCAAAGCTCACTGCCGGCCCCTCAAAAAGGTAATCACCTGACTTCAGATGGCCCATTTTCCAAGTCCAAGTCCAGGCAATCCAAGGGCGCAGACAGCAAGCGAGGATATTCGGAACATTCAACGGCCAACATAGCAGCCAAACGGGATGGCGGCAGGTCACAATCGGTCCAGGTTCCAAAGATCCTCCCTGCTGTTCCTGAGCCACCGCCGTATCAGCGGCCACCCCCAGCTCCCAGACCGGGTCGGTTGCCCACACCTGACTTGGATGATATCAATGATCGTGAATTTTGCTGTTGCAATCATCCATCCTGCCAAGGGCACCGCGGTGAGAGTGATGAATTCGGTGGCCCTTTGTCCAAAATGGAGGCTCAGAGTATGACCATTTTTCCTAGTCGTTCCGTTGCAAGTTGCTAACCTGGACCCAGTGCTCGCTGCTCAAGCGTACATCCGAGATAGGAGAAACTAAGCTTTTGGTTGAAGTAAACGGCGGAGTGTAAGATTTTCCGGCGCGGATCCTTTTCAAATGAGTGATGAATTGCCAATTTCAGGCAGCGGAGTTGAGGGGTTGTTTGTATTTTCTTGTTGGCGTGGAACAAAAACGAAGCGAGCGGACTGATACCATCTAACATTGACATCTAAGACAATCTCTGCGATAGAATTGTCGCCTTTCAGAATAGTTTTCGAGCTTCTCAATGCAAAGAATTCAGATCTATGAAGATTCCCATGAGTCCGTGATTTCGAAGCTGTGACGTTCGCGGTGCTGAGTCAATTGTTGGTAGCGTTTCGTGGGGAGGCCGAAAATCTGGCTGTTTCCTGGCAAGAATTCCTTCCAAAACGTGGCTGGGACGATTTTCAATAGACAGCTGACTTCCGACCGGGCATTGGGTCATCAAATTGATTGAGGATATGATAAAGAAGAGATTCGTAGGAATAGGAGCATAGGTGGTTGAGATTTCTGGGGGTTGTGTTTATGAGATGTCGTTGAAGTTCTCGTCAAGGCAGACGCCACTGATATTCGCCAAGCCCGATTCATGCTGACAAGTTCGCAGAGGTAAGCGATACTGAGTATAAATAAGCACGATCTGTCAGGTACGACCGTTTTGCGGACCGCTATCGGACCTCCGCCCCGCCTACCCCTCCATATTTACTTCAGGTAGCTTCGTTGCAGCTTCAATTCTCCCCAACAACTTCAAGACCACTCAACCGACTCCCATCCAAGACCGAGTCTCAATCATGGCCGAATTCAAGACTGTTTTCGCAAAGGATGCTGCTCCTCGTAAGTTTCCCTCCCCAGTGGTCACTAGAGAAACAAGAAAACAAGAAATTTACTAACAACCTCACAGCAGCAGGACCATACGTAAGTTTCTTCATCTACACAAACTACCTAATTCTTCTCTTCCTTCCCCTAATGATACACGCAATCTAATCTTCGTCCTATAGTCCCACGCCATCGCAACATCCTCAACAATCTACTGCTCCGGCCAAATCCCCTGCACCCCATCCGGCGAGATCCTCACCCAACCCACCTCTTCCATCTCCACCATGACAGAGCTCTGCATCAAGAACCTCAGTGCCGTCCTTGAAGCAGCCGGCTCCTCTCTCTCAAAGGTAAGACTTTATCATACATCCTCTGCCATCTTGCCAATTCTTTCCTCTTTCCAGTCATGAATGTATCCCAAAGAAATATATAATCTTGCTAACCACAATACCATCACCAGGTAGTCAAAGTCAACGTCTTCCTAACCACCATGGACAACTTCGCCGAAATGAACAGCGTCTACGAGAAATTTTTCACCCATAAGCCAGCGCGGAGCTGTGTCGCTGTATACCAATTGCCTAAGGGTGTGCCGGTGGAGATTGAGTGTATTGCACTGGCTTAGATTTCTATGCAGGGGCGGGGATAAAATGGTGCTCGAGTCTATGAATGCTCAATGCTCTAAAGCCATAGAAGGAGCCGTATGGTCCACCAACTCAAACTCCTGCAGTTGATTCAAGGGAGTAAATTTCAATGGCTATCTCTCCCGGGTTCCAAGATTGTTCCACTGTTACGATATCTATAGCTAGCTGGTCACCTAGGAGGCTAGATATCGGTGTACTAAAACATTGCATCACAAATCCAAAAACCAATATAAAAAACTTACCAGGTTCTTATCTTCATCCTGCCAATTCCTCCTATTGTCCGCAGAAAGCTTTCCAACGTCCCTATCTGAACACCCATCACAATTCCAACTCCACACCCCTTTAAATCCAACACCTTATTTGCAACCTCTTACCCCCATCCTGAATGAAACGCCGCAAATCCCTAAACCCGGCTCCATTTCCATTAAAAGCACCCTCTCCCAAGCACCCAACAAAAAACGAATAGAACCCAAGTCTTCCCCAAACGTCGATTTCCTCCTCTTTTCTCAAATTTCTACACGCATCCTTCCTTCGAATTCCACTATATCATATAAATAAGAGTAAGAGTAAAAGTAAAAGTAAAAGTGGACTCTTTTCCTACCCGCTTATTTACTTACTTGCCCACCCCGTATCCCTACTGAGGCCTGTAGCGCCAGTTGCCGCAATAGAAAAAAAACCGGCCAGCGCCTAAGCGTGGTAATGGAAAACTAATAGCCTGTTCGGCTCAAATCAGGGTGAATTAGATTATTCGGTAGCGTACCCTAGGATTCACAAAACTCACAAAAACTCTATTTGCTTAACTCGGAGTCTTATTTAGACGTTCGGACTGTATTCCCTACTATACTATACTTAGACGTGTAATCTCTAATACTTACCTATTCTACTAGTTATTCTACTATACCTATTCTATTAGGTATACTCGTACGACGTCCTTAACGTCCTTAATAAAGGGATTTTATAATTTATATATAAATATATGCTTAACTTATATATATAAAGAAGTAGGTAAAGTATAGGTAGTAGTAGTAGTAGTAGTTATAGTAGATAGAATAAGCGAGTTAGGAATACGGGGTTCTAAATATAGCTTAAAAGCCGTTTTTACCTTTTATATAGTGTCACGGATGCCAACAAAGGATAAAGTGTATACAGCTTTTGAATCAATTGCTAGAACTAAAACCGTAGGTACGAAGAAATCAAACTAAAGAGAGAAGAGAATCTGAAAGGAGCGAAGTTATTTAGGTTGTTCCAATGCCAAGTCTCATCACGTGCTTGGCCAAGCGAATGAAATCCTGTCAAATGAAATCCAGCTCCGTCACATTAGGAGCGAAGTTATTTAGGTTGTTCCAATGCCAAGTCTCATCACGTGCTTGGCCAAGCGAATGAAATCCTGTCAAATGAAATCCAGCTCCGTCACATCACCCCCCCCTCCGAAGAAGCTCGTCCCGAGCGCATAAGTCTGTAGTNCTTGTCTCGAGGAATAGTGGATCTTCGGCAAGTATGACAATTTTGTACGAATCTGCCAATATCCGTATCCATCTTGTTCCAGTAGTATTGTCTTTTGAGCAGAAGAATAGTCTTGTTTCGTCCAGGATGTGCCGTAGAAATTGAACAGTGAGCTTCAGCAATAAGGCGGGTTCGAAGCTTTTCTGCCACAGCAAGCCTTCCTTCGAAAAGCAGCCTTCCATCGCTCATTTCCCACTTAGTATTTTCAGGTGCCTTGGCAAGCTCTCTCTGAGCGTCGAATTCGGGGGATTCTCGATTTGTCTGAAGAAGAAGGTCGGTCAAGTCTAACTGCTGGTTAATAGGAGAAATTGACATCTCAGCTTCAATAGTACTAAGACTTGTAGAGATCCGAGAGTCGAGGTGTTGTGGCTGAAGCAGCTTTTGGTACCGGATGTTCTTTTTTGTCTTCGAGTGCTTGAAATCGTCGTTGTGCATCCTTGTTAGCGGGTTGGCTTTGTTGGTTTTGCCAGGCTTGTACATGATTTTGAAGCTATACCGTGAAAGGATTTCTGCCCAGCGTGCTTGTCTACTTGAAAGNCGAGTGCTCGAAATCGTCGTTGTGCATCCTTGTTAGCGGGTCGGCTTTGTTGGTTTTGCCAGGCTTGTACATGATTTTGAAGTTATACCGTGAAAGGATTTCTGCCCAGCGTGCTTGTCTACTTGAAAGCTCCTTTGTGGTCATGAAGTATTCAAGAGCTTTGTGGTCTGAAATCACTTCAATTGGCTCCCTTGAGCCCTCGAGCTCTGCACGCCAGTGTTCAAATGAGCGTATGATGGCTAGCATCTCCTTGTCGTGAATTGGATAATTCAACTCTGCGGGGGCCATTGTCTTAGAGAAGTAAGCGACAGGGTGAAATTCTCCGTCTAGTCCTTTCTGTGAGAAAACCGCGGCTACTACTGCATCAGAAGCATCAGTTTCTAGAAGGCAGTGCTTGTCAATGTCGAAATGAGCTAGAATCGGGGCATTCGTGAGGCAGTGTTGTAATCCTTCGAAGGAAGCAACGCACTCATCGTTGAAGTCAAAGACATGGTTAAGCCTTGTAAGCTGTGTGAGGGGAGCAGCGATTACACTGTAGTTTCGTATGAATCTCCGGTAGAAGATGCAAAATCCAAGAAAAGACTGAACTGCTTTGACCGTCTTTGGCCGCTGCGACTGAGTAATGGTGTTGATTTTGGCAGGGTCGACTTGAATTCCATCAGTTCCAATAATAAATCCAAGAAACTTTGTCTTCTTTACTTTGAATTCGCACTTCTTGATGTCAGCGTGA